AGTATCCCCTTATTCTGTTCTAACAACTGCCTCTTGGTCTATGTACAATTTCCTCAGGAGCACAGTTAAGTGTTCTAGAATACCCATTCTTTGCAACATTATCCATAGTTTGTCATGTTCCACATAGTCAATAAAGTACAAGTAAGCATCTTTCTGGTATTCTCTGCTTTCAGCCAAGATCCATCTGATATCAGCAAAGGATAACCCTCATTCCACATCCACATCTGAATCTGACTTGAATTTGTGGCAGCTCCTTGTTGATGTGCAGCTGCGATCGGTTTTGAATTATCTTCAGCAAAATTTTACTTGCATATGATACTAATTATACTGTTTGATGATTTCTGCATTCTTCTGGGTCACCTTTCTTTGGAATGAGAACAAATATGGATTTCTTTCAATTGGTTGGGCAGCTAGCTGTCTTCCAAATCTCTTGGCATAGATGACTGAGTGTCTCCAAGGCTGTATCAGTTTGATGAAAAATTTGTATTCCATCAATTCCTGGAGCCTTGTGTTTCACCCAATGCCTTCATGCAACTTGAATGTCTTCCTTAAGTACCATTGGTTCTCGATTCTTGAAATGGTTGATGAATAAGGAAGACTGAACAAGAACTGATGGTTTTGAATTATGGTGTAGTTGAAGAATATTGAAGGTACTGTGGATTGGCAGAAGAATAGAAAATCTGTCTTGGAAGTAGTACAGCCAGAATGTTCTTTGGAAACAAGGATGGCGAGACTACATCTCAAGTACTTTGGACATGTGATTAGTAAGAACCAGTTCCTGGAAAAGGACATCATGCTTGTAGAGCCCTAGATACAGGATAGGTCAAGAAACAGTAGCCTGACATGCTGGTGTTTTTGTTTAATAAAGGTTTCTATGGTTTTATAGCAATATTTTTTACTTATTTCTCTGTGTGTGTAAAAATACATAAAGTGTATGAATCTTAAGGGTACAGCTCAAAGATTTCCACATACGTTTACAGAAGACATGAAGGGTTTCCAACTTCCAATAAGGTGCTTTCAAGGCTCTTTCCAATCTGGACCTGCCCAATCCCTGCCAATCTCTGAAATTGTTATTGTTGTTAGTAAGTGCTGTGGAGTCTGTTCTAACTCATTGTAGGAGTAGAAAGCCTCACCTTCCTCCTGCAGAGTGGCTGCTGGTCTCAAACCTCCAACCTTGTGGTTCACAGTCCAGTGCTTAGCCTACGGAGCCACCACACTCCCCGTCCATCCCTGATGTCACTCCATAGATTCACTTTGTCTAGTTTTGAACTCCACATGAATGGAATGAAAATGTATTCACTCGTAAGCATATGAATCAATGACACAGAGTACAGAAATTGACTCTTGCATCTATGATGTTCAGCAAGAGTTCCAAGATCATTCAGTGAGACAAGACCAGTGTTTTCTACAAACGGTGCTGGGGCAATTAGATATGAATTAGGACCCCTAATACATGTCATATATAAATATGAACTCAAAATGAATTAAAGACATCAATGTAACAACTACAATTATAAATGTCTTAGAAGACATAGGTTTAAATCTTCATGACCTGAGATTGGCAATGGCTTCTGAAATATGGCACCTAAGGCACAAGCCACCAAATTTAAAACTTTTATGAATCTTAACAGGAAATTGAAAAGATAACCTACAGAGTGGGAGAAAATATTTGCAATCTTGTATCTGATGAACATCTAGTATCAAGAATATAAAAAAATGCCCTTATAACTCAACAACAAAAAGACAAATAGCCCTATTTTAAAATGGGCCCAGAAGATAGGTAAATGGCCAGTTGTAGTTACTAAGTCCTGACGAGTTGGTTCCGACTCATACCGACCTTGTATAGGATTTCTGAGGCTGTAAATTTTTGTGGGCACAGCGGGCCTCACCTTTCTTCCATGGGATCAAACCACTGACCTTGTGGTTCAAAGTCCAGTGCTTGTCCTACCTACAGTCACCATGCTCTCCAAAAATGGACAGTACGCACATGAAAAAATGCTTGATGCTATTACGCATTGGTATCGTTGTTGTTAAGTGCCGTCCTGTCGGTTCCTACTCATAGTGACTCTGTATAGAGTTTCCTAGGAACAGCTGGCAAGTTTGAACTGCTGACCTTGTGGTTCACACCAATCCTGCAGTCCAGTGTTTCTCCTACAGTGCCACACTAGGCAGATGAAAAATCCAAACCATAATGCACTACTATTTCATGTCCATTTGAACAACAAGAAAAATAACAAACGTTGGGGAGAATGTGGACAAATTGGAACCTTCATATATTGCTGATGGGGCTATAAAGGTGGTGTGACCACTTGGAAACTCAGTTTAAGTCTTTCTCAAAAACTTAAACATAGAGTTACCATGATTGAACAGTGCCACTTCTAGGTAAATACCCAGGAGACATCAAAACAACATACAAAAACTTGTATAGTAATGTTCACAGTATTATTCATAATAGTTCAAAGTGGAAACATTCTAAATATCTATCAACTGCTGAATGCATCATGGAATTGTGTTATGTTCATACAATGGAATATCATTCGACAATAAAAATGAATCAAGTTCTGACACATCCCTGGAAGCATGAATCTTGAAAATATTATGCATAGTAAAGTGAGCCAGACACAAAGATCACATGTTGTGTAATTCCACTGATAGGAAATGCCCACAATAGGTAAATCCAGAAAGACAGAAAGTAGATTAGTGGTTGCCAGGGGTTTGAGAGACAGGGGAATAATGAATAATCGCTATAGAGTTTCTTTCTGGAGTGATGAAAATATTCCGGAATTAGATTGTAACTGATGGCTGTACAACCTTAAGAGTATGAAAATCATTGAATTGTACACCCCAAAATGGTGAATCTCATGGTATGGGAATTATTTAATTATATATGTTGTGGTTAAGTGCCACAGGGTCAGTTCCATAATAAGACCTTATACGGTTTCTGAGGAGTGGCTGATGAGTTTGAATCACCAACCTTGCAGTTCAACCCAACCCTGACGTCCAGCACATTAACTGACAGCGCCACGCCAGGACTCCATAATTTTGAAAGATACATCAAGTGTACACTATTTGGTGTCTGCCTCCTTTCATGAAACACGCATGTGACCCCCATCCATACTGCTGTATTAGCAGATTACTCGTATTCCAGTGTGTGGATATGCATAACTAGCTTTTCGGTTCTCCTGTTGATAGACATCTCTGCTATTTCAAATTTGGAAACTTTGAATAAAGCTCGAAATTGTTATAAATATGTTTTGAGGGATGGATATTTCAACTGGTCTGTTTCTAGGAGTAGAGTTGCTGAGGCAGGCAGGATACACATATATTTCACTTTATTAGATAGATACTGCCAAACAGTTTTCCAAAGTGATTCAGCCACATTTACACTCCTGCCACCCAGGTCTAAGAGTCCTTGTCAACACTTGGTATTGTTGGTTTTTAAAATTTAACCACTCTGGTGGGTGTGTCCTTAATTGACATTTTAATTTGTATTTTCCTTCTGAGTAATGAAGTTGAGAAGCTTTTCATGCACATATTGGCTATCGGGCATATTATTTATTACATAAGTACTTCCTTATTTGTGAAGTACCTGCTTATTTAATTTGGTTTAATCGTCATACATTATCCATATGTTGCTGTTAAATGCTGTCAACTGGTTCCAATTCATAACAATCCTGTAAAGGATTTCTGAGGAACGGCTAGCAAATTTGAACCACCAACCTTACAGTTCAAACCGACCGTGAGGTCCAGTGCCACACCAGGATTCCTATTCATATGTAGGATGTTTAAAATATGTTCTGGACTTGAGACCTTCATTAAGATCTATGTGCTGCCAATGCCTTCTTCCGTCTCATACCTTTTCGCATTTTGACCAGCAGAAGTTTAAAACGTTGAAGAAGTCCAGCTTGTTGTGGTGACGGGCCGTGGAGTCAGTTCTGACTCATAGCAATCCTGCATAGGGTTTCTGAGGCTGTAAATCTTTACGGAAGCAAAAAGCCTCATCTTTCTCTCGTGAAACAGCTGGTAGTTTCAAACTGCTGACCCTGAGGTTCACAGCCCGATTCGTAACCACTATGCTACCAGAACCCACTTTCAATTGTACAATTAAGAAATCTTTGCCTATCCCTTCAGCTATCCCCTCCTCCAACTTCTTAGCTTCTGCCCAGTAACTTGCTGCTAGGTTCTGGCCTGCCCATCCTCCTCCACACTGCTCCTCAACCCAGTCCCTGCTCCTCCCATTCCCCCGCCCCCACACTTGCCCTCCTCACTGCAATCTGCAGCATCCTTCTGCCCAGGGACAGCTGTGACTCACCTCCTGCGTGTCCCAGGGCTGGCTCAGGGTCCGGTGAACACTAGGTGCGCAATCATAAAACTTGGTAAATGAGTGCAATGTCCCAGGACCCAGCTGGGGATCATTAAAACTCTCAATTAGTTCTAAACACCAGCTCATCAGGAACATTTGAGCAAAGCCAGAAAAGTAAAAAGTTTTGGAAAAACCAACAAGATAGGAATGTTTCGCTTTCTCCTCAACTGGAGCATTCATCACAAAAACTCAGACCTTGTGAGCATTGTTTATTCTTGCCCCTGCCCCCATGGGACCAGGGGGGCCTCTCTCCTGCTCCATTTCATGGCAGGAGCACCCCATCTGTTCCCTGTATCTGCTAACTCTCAGAGGGAGGGACACACTCCATCTCTTTCTAGTCTTTCTCTTCTCCATGGGTGATGATGTAGCATAGATTCCTGTAGTCCAGGTTACCACACACATCTGGAGGGAAAGCTGCAAACATCTGTTTGACCTGCAGAAGGAGCAAGGAATCAACCTGGACCAGGTAGAATGAGAGCCAGAGCCGTGGGTCAGTGGAGGTCATCTGGGGTGGCAGGCACCTGTCTCCTCTCTTTGCAGACTGAGTATCAAGATGTGGGGAAAAGGGGCCAGGGTCCTGCCACCAGCAGCCCCATTGTAACCCCTGTAACCTCACTCACTCTTTAACAACTCAGCACGGAAAGGGACCCCAGGAAGGGGATGGGACTGCAAAGCAGGACCCTAGGCAGGACTGTGCTCCATGAAGACCCTCCACAGTAATGGGACCCTGCGAGGCACCACTTACCTCCTCCTCACTGAACCTGTCTGCCTGTGTCATGAGCTTCTCTTTGATGCTGCGCAAGGAAGAGAACCAGAAAGAGCATGTTGAGGGACAGGCTTCCCCTCGTGGACACTCAGATGCCAGGTGATGGGGACAGGTGGGCAGGAGTCACCAGCCTGGCCCTGGCCTACCAGCCCTTGGCTAGCCATGTCTACTCGGGTTGGCCACATCTATCCTCTGACCTTCAATGTCCTCACCTGTAATGTGGGTTCTACTATAGCATGGATAGGAACCAAAGGAAACAGCCTGGGAGCCTGAAGGAACCTCAGAAGCCACTGTGGCCTCTCAGTGCAGGGCACTGCAGGGAGACGGCTGTCCACTTGGTGTGGCTTCTGAGGAGGCTAGAAGCTTCATGGGACTCTATAGTGTATGAGGTACTTGCACGCAACAGTGAGGGGTCTGGGAGGTCTGCTCATGCTCAGGTTTCGCTTGTCTCCACAGCCCTGAGGTTCAGGAGGGGGTTAGTGTGCCCCAGGTCCCAGAATGAGGCAGTGGCAGGAGCACAGCTGTCCCGGGAGCCCAAGCTGGCCTGCAGCTCACGGAGCGATAGAGGAGGGTGTGAGAGTCACGTCTGAGTCCATGTTTGAGGGGCTGATATGTCCGCGTGCTTGGAGGGCCCTGAGGGCTCACGGGGCACCATGGGTAGGATGGGATCAAAGGGCTGAGTGCGTCCCTCCTACACCCAGCAGGTCCTCTGGCGCCAGCGATGGCAGGCCCCATTGAGGACCGACACACATTTTCCATTATTTACGTTATTGCGGGACAGTCCCAATTTCCAGCTCTCCAAATGGGGACTTTTCAGACTCTGTTTGTGCAAAACATGCTGTACAGGGAAAGGCCTCTGCCAGAGGCTCCAGGGCCGCCTGGCTGGCAGCCCGGCTTCCAGGTCCCATGTCCAAGCGGCTGGGTGAGGGGTAGCACCTCCAGTTCCCAAATTGGGTCCCCACACTTCTCCCAGCCTGCCCGCACACTGGTGGGAGTGAAGGTGGGCAATGGCCCAGTGTTCCCCCAGGCTCCCAAGGTGGGAGTGGGAACCAGGGACTCTCGGTAAGGGGTGAAAAAGAAATCCTCACAGGCTGCGGAGTGAGTCAGACAGTGTGGAGAGACTCCGTTACATGGTCCTTGAGCAGGAAGCCTGCGCTCAGAAGCCCAGTGTGGACTTGGAGGCTCTAGCGGGGATGCATGGGGACAGGTGAGGGGTCAGACCAGTGTCCTGCCCCAGGACAGTCTTTGTCTTTTAGCTCCCTGTGCTCTCAGTGGTCCCACCCAGTAGAGTAGGCCATCTGAGGCAGTGCCGCCGACTCGAGCATGCTCCGGACATTGACCGTGGCCACCTCTAACTCAGCGTACCCTTCATCCCCTCCTCCAAGGTGGCCTCTGAGTGGTCCTTACAGAACTCCTTCTCAGGCTGCCGATGCCCTCAGGGAAGACCCAAGGTCCACGATAACCCAGGGCATGTCGCCTGTTGCGGGTCCTGTTCCCTCTCTGCACCGCGTCTCCAAGCCTCACACCTGAGCCCTTTTGCCTAACTCTCAGATGCTTCCTCTCAGACTCTGCACCTACCAGGTCTTGGCCTCTCCTTTGTCCTCATCTCATCCCTGCCTTCCCCAAGTATTGTCCAGTCACAGAGAGGTGAAGGAATCCTGGGGGACAGGGGACGCTGTGGGTTAATGAGCTGGACTGCAAATTTGGTTTGAACCACAAGGTGGGTGATTCAAGCTCATCAGCCACTCCTCAGAAACCCTATACAGCGTCGCTGTGGGTCAGAACCAACTCGATGGTACTTCACAATGACAATAACATAGAGAAGAGGGAATGAGATATCAAGCAGGTAACTGGGCTGGTCAGACACTTCCTCGAGCTTGGCTGAGTTCTGGGTGGAAGAGGGGACTTAGCTGCCCACCCACACCCCAGCCCCTTTCTCTCCTGAGTCTGTGGGGAGAGAAACCCCCAAACCATCAGAAGGTGACTTACAAGTCAGCCTTGACGAAGCCTTTCCCCTCGGTGTCAAACACCTTGAAAGCGTGAAGAATGGTCTCCTCGGGGTCTGTGCCTGGAAACAGCACACACAGGGGAGAAAGAGTGGCAAGGTGAGGGGGGTCCCACTGAACCAGGCTGGGCTGGGGCTGGTCCCAGGACCCCTTCAGGGACCAGGGAGAGCTTCTGTCCTCAGGGGAGCAGAGTCCACTTGGAGCACGTGTAGAGCACTTCAGGGAAACAAAACATGTTCCTAATAGTCAGGGCCCTATATGCAGCTGTGGACAGACCACATAGCTGGACATGGAGCCCTGGCCTCAGCACTGACCCTGTGCCAGCCACTGGGAGTACCCTCTGAGAACTGTCCCTGTTTTACAGATGGAGAAACTGAGGCTCAAAGCGATGAAATGTCTTGCCCAAGGTCTCACAGTGGAGCCATTTGATGGTGTCGCATGATGAGTGAGGTCCACTGGGCAGACATGCAGGAGACGTTGTGAGTGGACGAGGAAGGACGTGACCCTGAAGGCAGAAGGCTGAGGCCCAGGAGACTGTCCCAGCCAGAGGGACACAGGTGGGCCGGGGAATAACCAGCAAAGCTAGAGTAGGCCCTTCATTGTTTCATCATACGGGTGGGGAAACTGAGGCTGGGAGAGAGGATGGGTGTGGTCCATACAGGCTGTCTGAGGGCCCATGACCCTCCTCGGTCACACTGTGAGAGGGCTTTGTTAACGGAACGAGAATGGCAAACACGCTCTGTCTCTATTGTGCCTCTTTCTGTGCCTGCTATGCTATCCTCTGACTCAGTGAGATTCCAGAACAACCCTGTGGCAGGACTTGACACCCCCAATTTGTCAAAGAGGAGACTGAGGCTTGGAGAGGTTCTGTTACTTGCCCATGGCCCTACAGCCAATAAAGGGGAGAAGAAAACTGGAACCCAACTCTGCCTATCTTCAAAGTCCCTGCTTTCTACCATTCTATGCGCTCCTGCTCACAAGAGGCTGAGGTCCCCCTGGACTGGGTCAAGTCTCCCTGTTTCTTCTCCATCATATCAGGACAGGTTTCTGTGTCTCCCTCATTAGATTGGGTCAGGACCCTGTGTCTCCCCATCAGATTGGGACCAGACCCCATGGTGAAGGGATAGGAAGGGAGAGCTTCTGGTCAGGTACCTGCCTCCCAGCTCCCAGCTCCCAGCTCCCAGCTCCCAGCTCCCAGCTCCCAGCTCCCAGCCCCAGCTCCCAGCCCCCAGCTCTTAGCTCTCACTCATGCTTGTCTCTGAGCCTGAACCACCTGGCCAGGATAAGTCTGTGGCTCCCTACAGCCCACCCTCTCCCTCCCACATTCTCCTCTGCCCCTGAGAGAGGGTCTCTGCTCTCATCAAATGGGGGCAGCCAGGCTATTTTCCCCATTGTTGGGAATCTCATGACAAAGCCACCTCTTCCCAATTAGTGGGAGGAGGTGGATCTGGCCCCAGCCCCCGTCCCCGCCCTCTGGCTGCTCCTACAGGCTCAGCCACATTAGCACGACAGTCTCTGCAGGGGCCCCATCCCAGCTCTCCTGCAAAAATGAGAAAAAGCTGCTGCCCCGAGGCCCACCGACTGGTCTGGGTGGTGGCTCAGCACTGCCCCGCACCTACACAACTGCAGGCCTGGGTCCCATGAGGGGCCCGTTGTGATCTAAAGCGTCTCTTCACCCTCCCAATCCTGAAGGGTCCCCCAGCACCTCCCACTCTCAGAACCTGAGCCCCCTCTGTCCACCTCTCACACACACACACACACACACACACACACACACACACACACGAGTCCTGGAACAGTCTCACCCCACAGTGACCACTCCAGACTCAGACCTCCAGGGCCAAACCCTCAGGCAGGACGACCCAAGGGCTCAAGGGCTGGCCCTTAGCAGCTGTCCCATCGGTTCAGTTCCTCAGAATTAGAGATCGCTGGCTGTCCATTGGCTCCCCTTAAAGTCACTGCCTGTAGTCGCACTGACCTTCCCCATGGCTCCTACACTCCTCCCTGGGTTTCTGAGCTCCTTCAGGAGGTGGTCACAGTCCCAGGAATAACCCCCAACAGCTACCGGAGCTCTTGGGGTCCAACAACTCTCCTGACTCAGCTAGACAGCCCCAGTTCATAGCCTGCCCCAGATGAGGGTCCCTGGATTTCTCTGGCCCTCTGTTTCCTCATCTCTAAGACAGAAGGGGGAGTCCTGGTGCAGCACTGTGGGTTAGTGCGCTGGACTGCAAGGTCCGTTCGAATCGCAAGGTTGGTGGTTCAAGCTCACCAGTTGCTCCTTGGAAACCCTATACAGGGTCACTATGAGTCGAGACTAACTCCACGGCACTTAACCACAACAATACAGAAGGGTAAGGTATTGGGAAATACACAACCGGCCTCCTTGTAGCTTTAAAATCAGCTAGGACTCCAAGAATTCCTCTGGATGTCTTTGGTTTTGTTTTTGGCTGCAGTACCTGGCACCAGCCTCCAAACTCCTTTGAGCTCAGTCTCCTCATTTGTGAATGAATGAGCTCCTTTCTCAAGCCGGTAGGGGTGGGAGTGTTCCAGGGACTCTTGTGGTCATCAGGCAAGTAACCTGTGCTGCCTTGGGCTGGTGGTGACACCACCACCCCTAGGGCCCTTGGTGGGCCGAGCAGTGAGGCAGAGTAGACAAAATGAGGAGGGGGAGGGAGCATTCGAACCCCATGTCTTCAGGTTCTGCCAACATCACCAGCCTCCCTCCTGCCCCCCCTCACACACACTTCAGCGTCTCCTTTGCTCTTCTTGTTTCCTGAAAGGGGCGGCGGGGAGTGAGACTCTGTCTTGATGGTGGACAAAGAGCAAAGGGTTGTGCCCCAAATTGTCTCAGATCTTCCATGGATGCGAAGGTCATTACAATTGTCCCCAAGGAAAAACCAAGGCAGGACCCAGCCTTGTGTCGGGGTGGGAGGGGAGCAGGTCTGCACCCAGGGCCTATGCCCCCACCCCCCTCCCCAGGACTGCCTGGAGCCCCACTCACCCTTCAGCTTCTCCCCAAACATGGTCAGGAAGACGGTGAAATTGATGGGCCCGGGTGCATCCTTCACCATGGCCTCCAGCTCCTCGTTCTTGACATTGACGCAGCCTGGGACAGGAAGGGGGCGGGGAACACAGTGGGATCAGGAAGGGTCCTGCTTCCAAGCCACCAGGAGCCCAAGAGCTCCTCAGCTCCCAGCTCTGCTGTTACATCCATTCCCTACTTAGCTCCAGGGCCCTGCCCACCTGCTAGGAGCCTGTGGGAGGAGGACTGCCCCAGCTTCCCTGTCATTATCAGTCATGATCCTGTTCTATGGACCAGCACTGAACAGCCAACCATAAGGTCGGTGGCTCAAACCCACCAGTAGTTCCTCGGAAACCCTATACAGGGTCGCTATGAGTCAGAATGCACTTAACAACAACAACATTCTCATTTCAGAAAGCAGGAAACTCAGGCCCTAAGAGGCTGAGAGTCTTGAGTGTAAGCTGCGTACAGGAGCTAGAAGGTCAAGTTCTCCTTGAACTTCCATGCATGTGCCTCAGGAGGGATAAGGAGCTGCTTGCAGGAGGGTCTCTGGGACTGCTCCTGGTCCCAGTTGACAGCCAGACTCCAGAGGCCCACCACTCAGAATGCACATAACTTGTGTCCCTTCCCTCCACCCCTGCACTTTCCTTAAATGCCCCACTCTGGACCCTAAAGAACCCACTGAGTGGGTTCTGACTCATAGAGACCCTCTAAGACAGGGTAGAACTGCTCCATAGGGTTTCTGAAACTGTACATCTTTATGGAAGCTGACTGCCTCATCTTTCATCCACAGAGTGGACTGTGGGCTCAAACCACCAACCTTCAGTTAGCAGCCTAACATTCTGTGCCCTCAGCAAGTAAAGAAGGCTCTTCAGCCATTCAAAGCCTTTACATTCTCCAGTTCTGCCAACACCACCAGCCCCACCCTGCCCTCAGCTTCGCCCTTGCTCTCCTGAGTCCTCACCACTTCCAGGCCAGCTCTGGCCGGGCCCTCTGCTCTAACCCTCAGTGAACCGCCTCCTGACCTCCCAGTCCATGGCACTGTGCTCCACGCCCTGGGCCCCGCCCAGCAAGAGGCCCTCCCGTGTTCCTGGTACCCACCAGTGGTCATAGAGGAGATTGCTGACTGACGGAGTGACCCAGGCCACCTACCCAGAGCAGCAAAGGTGTCCCTCAGGTCCTCCTTGTCGATGAAGCCATCCCGGTTCTGATCCATGATGGTGAAGGCCTGGCAGAGGCATGAGCACTGACTGGCCAGTCACTGACCAAGCCCAGTTCCACCCTGGTCCCAGCCCCCTCTGGCCAGCCTGCTGGGTTCCATGCCCATTGCCTCATTCAATGTTCACATAAAGCCCATTTTACAGACAGAGACACTGAGGACCAAGGGGAAAGAACTTGCCCAAGGCTATACTCTGCTCAGGTGCAGAGAGGAGAGGAGTTGCCCAAGGGCAGAAAGACACCTGTCTCTAGACTCAAAAGCTCTCTAAGAAGAATGGTGGCCTCTAAGAAGAATGGTGTCATCTCCCCACCAGGGATTGAGGTCTGGTTGTGTACACGGCTTCCTAAGCATTTCACAAATATTACATTAATCCTCCCAACAACCCCTACAGGACAGCTGACCAACCTCTTTAAACTCCTGGATCTGGAACTGATCAAACATGGAGAAGACATTGGAGCCGGCTCCAACCTCAGCTCTTTTCCGGGCTCTTCTGGGTCCCTGTGAGGTACCAGGTGAGGGTTTGCAGCAGGCGGTTCCTTGGGAGGTCAGCCGCCTCCCCTCCCCCCATCAACCCAGAACATCACAGTCCTGAAAGGCATGTCCCTGAGCTCAGACCGGGTACCACAGCAGGCAGACAGGCCAGCTTGCAGTGAAGAAAGCTGTGCAGATGACCAGGGTGTTTTCCTGCTGAATGTCCACCCACAGGGCCAGACAGCTGCTTCCTGACCCAAGTCCGGGCTCCAGAGGTGAGTGGTCAGCACTCAGACTGTGGAGCAGAGAGAGGACTATTTCTGGAATCAGTCTCTGTAAGGCTTCCACATAAAGCCAGAGAAAGCCTCAGAATACGGATCCTTGGCATCCAGGTTTAAACCAACCGCTCCTTGGAAACCCTATGCAGGGTTGCTATGAATGGGAACGGACTAGATGGCACTTAACAACAGTGCTCTCTTCCCGGTCAGGCCACCCTCATGTCCCTTTCCAATTCATCCCCTACCACCCACCCGAGTCCCTGACGTTGTTAAGTGGTGTCCAGTATAGGGTTTCCGAGGAGTGGCTAGTGCGTTTGAACCACTGACTTTGTGGTTCAAAGCAACTTTGCATTAGCCTGCAAGACTTCCTGGTCTGTCCCAAATCTGTGTAGAGCTCCCTTCTCCCCCAAGCTCTTGCCAGTCCTAGTGTCTGGAACACCTCTCCGGCCTGCCTTCCGCGCCCCCCCGCTACCCCCCTTCCAGCCAGCTGTCACGGCCTTATGCTGCTGCTCCCACATGGCCTGCACCCGACCGACCTGTGTCATCTTCAGTCCCACCACCACCCACCCAGACCCCCAGGGCTAGCGCTTAGAAGTGGCTGTACAGAGGGCCCACTGGACATCCTTGAGGCGGCTTTTCAGGATGTCCAGGGGCCTATGAGTCCACCATTAGGCATTGGCAGAAAGCTGTTTGGCCCCAAGACCCCTGAAAATCTGATCTTTCCCTCAGCACAGTTCCCTAGAATTGTTTTGTTTTTTTAAGTTTTATTGTGAATTGAGGGACCGTTTACATGAGAGAACATCAGTTTGACATTCATCCTATAGGATTCCAGAATTGGGTCTTCAGGTGAAAAGAACTGGTTTCCACTGAGGGAGAGGTGGGCTTCCCACTCCTATCACCCCCTCCCAGTCCCCCCCCCCCCCAGGCAACCTTATCTCCTTCCCTGGCTCTCCTGCACCCCATTGCCTGTGTGGTCCCCTCCCCTAGTGCACCCCTCACCCCCTTCCCTCTGGCTCCTGGGCCAGCTTCAGGAGTGAGCAGCGCCTGGCTGACTTATAATTAGCTTTTACTGGGTGCTTTGTCTCCACTAATCCTTTGAAAGGGGGCTGGCGGGGCGGCTGAGACGTTATGATGCTGTAAAACCTCTGTAATATTTATAAATCCCTTCAGACATCATAAAGGAAAGAAGCTCCCTGCAGAGGTCATCTGACATAATTACATATACATTTCCCTCTGATTAATAAAAAATGATCACTTCCGTCTGTGAGGCACTCTGCCCTTTCTCTCCCTAGACCTCAGCCTCCCCGAGGCCTGTCTCACCCCACCCTTTCATGTCCATCTTGTTAAATGTCACCTACTGTGTACCAGGCCCTGGTCTGGAAACATACAGTCAGTGAGGAATTGTTCTCTCTCATTGGACCAGAGGTCCAGAGCCCGGGGCAGACTTCTGACCTCTCCTGACTGCCCTTGCCTTGTGTTAATTCTGACTCACAGTGACCTTATCCCAGAGTAAAACTGCTTCATAGAGTTTCCCAGATAGTAAATGCTTACGGGAGGGAACAGCCAGCCTCATCTTTTTTCTTCTGGTGATTTGAACCATCGACCTTTTGGTTAGTAGCCAGTGTGTCACCACGATTCCATTCTGACTTCCCAACCAACTAGTGCTTCTTCCAGCCTAGCTGTCTTGGAATTTCACTGTAACGATGTGTCCCTTAAAATAAAACCACTCAGGCCCGGCTTTTAATCCTGACTTTGCTGCTCACAGTCTGTGTGATGTTAAGAAAGTCACTTGGCTTTTCTGAGTTTCAGTTTCTCTGCCGATTAACCAAGATAATTAATGCCTACCTCAAGTAATTCATTTCATCAGGGCATTTGTTAGGCACCTGCTGGCCTCCACTTAAGCCCTGTGCCTAGTTGTGGGGTTCCAGAGCTGAATCAGACCCCCTGTCCTTCTCCTCAACAAGCTCACAGTCCACCTGTTGATAGAAGGCAATCAGGGACTCAGGGCAGACTTCCTGGAGGAGGAGGTTACTGGGCTGAGACTTGCTTGGCAGCAAGTCTGAGCTCTCTGGCAAAGTGGGACTAATAGAGGGTATGAGGCAGAGGTTAGGGTCGGTAGTGAGGTGGCTCTGAAGGATAAATACTGGACTGCAAACCACAAGGTTGGCAGTTCAAGCCCACCAGAAAGATAAGTCTTTCTGCTCCTGCAAAGATTTACAGCCTCAGAAACCCTAAACTGAGTCACTATCAGTTAGAACCAACTCAATTGGCCCTTAACAACAGCAGCTATGAAGCTGAGACAGGAAGGTCTGCAGGAGGTCCCCACCAGGCCTGACAGACAGCTGAGGAGAGCAGAGCCCACACCAGCTCCAGAGGAACCCAGCTGACCTGCCCCAATAGGCAATGTATCTCTTCAGCAGGAACAGAGCCTCCACGTCGGCAGCTCTGACCCCATCGCTCCTGCTGGTTTGTGTCTGGCCCACCTGCTCTTCCTCGGCCCTCTTCTTCCTCACTACCCTGGCCCCCACCAAGCCATGAGAAGCTCATTCAGGGCAGCCTGGGGGAGCCAAGGAGCCCTGGTGGCACAGTGGTTAAGCGCTTAGCCACTAGCCCAAAGGTGGGGTGGTGGTCTGCCCTGGTGAAGACATCAACCAAGGACCCCATGGGGCAGCTCTATTCTGCCTCACAACGAAGAAAGCACAACATCAAAGGGTGGGCCAGCCTCAGGAAAGGAGTACAATCAGGGTCAGGTGAGTTCAGGGATGAGTTGAGATGAAGCTCAGAATCACAAAGCAGTGAAGGTCAGCCTTGAGAAGTGACATCAGGGTCAAAGGTAAGGTCAAGACTGGGAGAGCAGAAGGGAGGGGGAGCAGAGCGGCAGGCAGGACGCAGGCAGGACAGGGAGGGGAGGCAGCCCAGCCTACCATGATGTGGAGACCTCCTCAGGCTGCAGAAAACGGGGTGCCCTCAGGGCTGACTCTTTAAATAGTGTTCCTCCTCACATCTGCAGTTTAAACCCACAGCTGCTCCTGGGAAACCCTATACAGGGTCGCTTGCTATGAGTTGGAACCAACTCTACGGCACTTTACAACAACCACCACCTCAGGCCTGGCGTTGTGCCAGGGCCAGACAACAGTTTGGAAGGAGACAAAGGACAGGATGGAGACCTCCCTGCCAGGCACCTGTCCTGGGCCATTCAGTGTGGGTGGGGTGGTGGGATCCATGGGTAAAAACCACAAACCAACTCTATGCGCTTGGGGGCAACTGTCTTCTCTAGAGCCCATGAAGGGGCCCTTGGCCAAGGAACCAGCTGAAAAAGACTTAGCCTTGGGCTGTTGAGAGTTTCCCAAAGCAGAGTCACCATGCCTCCTGGGGGCACTCAGGGGCTACAATTCAGCTGATGGCTGGAGCTGGGTGACTGGGTCGAATGTTCCCTGCTAGAAGCTTCCGACACCTCTCAGGGAAAGTGGGCAGGAGAGGAGAGAGCTCACAAAGGTTTCCAGAGCAGCCTGGCCTAGGTGCCTATTACTCCATTATTATCAGTTTTACCCACCCAACCAGGTTACCCTCCTCATTATTGTCAGTAGCCTGTGAGTAGGTTCCAACTCATAGTGACCCTGTACACAACAGAACGAAACACTGCCCAGTCCTGCGCCTCCTCACAATCGTAGTTACGCTTGAGCCCATTGCTGCTGCCGTTGGGCCAATCCAGTTCATCTTTTTCACTGACTCCACTTTACCAAGCAGGATGTCCTTCTCCAGCCCAGCAAAGAAAACCAGAAATGACACTGAGCAGGAAGAACTGAGAAGTCAGACCCCACTTTTCCCTGGCCATACACACCCTACAAGGCCGATTCCCACCAAGCCTGGCCTGGCCCAAGAACCCTACAGTAGATGTGTCCGCAGAATCAGTACCTGTCCCTGGCAGGTCCCCAGTGTATCTAGGACAGCCCCGGTGGCCCAGGCTGCCCCTCTGGTCCAGTTGGACCTTGTGTAAGGTTTTCCACATCTGATTATCTGCCAAGGCTAGCAGTGCTGGGTACAGACAGTGACACCCCCGCCCCCAGCCCCAGGAGCTGGAGAGCTTAACTGTCCCTGGGAACTGGCCTCAGGCTTCCAGGTTCCGCTGACCGGCAAAGGATTAGCTGTACCCGGGCTCAAATCTGGGGCCCCTGGGGGAGAAGGAAATGTGACAATAATGATAAGAAGAGATTGAAGCACAGAATGTCAGACTATGTTCTATAACAGAGCTTGATAACATGCCTTTTTCTTCAGTTCTTCCCCCATTTTCCAAGAGAGGAAGCAGAGGCACAGAGAAGTTAAGTCACTCACCCAAGGCTGATCAGTGATAGTGATGAAGTGTCCGTGCTGTTAGTTAGGTGCCGGCCAGTAGATTCTGACTCACAGCGACCCTACGTACAACAGAACTAAACATTACCTGATCCTAGTCTTCGTGTGGCACTGTGGGTTAATGCGCTGGACTGCAAAGTCAGTTTGAACCACAAGGTTGGTGGTTCAAGCTCACCAGTCACTCCTCGAAAACCCTAACAGGGTCGCTATGGGTCAGAACCGACTCAATGGCATTTAATGACAATAACAACAATGCCACCCTCACAACTGTTGTTATGTTTGAACCCAGTGTTACCTCCACTGTGTCATTCTCTCTCACTGTGGAAATTCCTCTTTTTCACTGACCCTCTGCTTTTTCATGATGTCCTTCTTCAGAAATAGATCTCTCTTGATAACATG